ACATACAATTGCGTAGCCATGTCTTTATCTTACGCATAGCTGAAAAAACTTCTTTCACATGTAGCTGATGCAATAGGTAAAGACATGGCTACTTGAAGAAGTTTGTATAAGCTAGGGAATACACTTTCAGTTAATACATTTTTTATGATTTCATATTCATAGTTGATTTCATTATCCTTAATTCCTAATTGTAATAGACTGTTCTTCGCCACTATCATCTCTGATTGAATATTTAGTTTTGATAAATTCAATAAACCCTAAAATCAGTTTTGTAATATAATAATATGTAATATCACTTAAACATAGGATGTCAAAAAATATTAACTTACTTGATAATGATCAATGAAAAACAAACTTCCTTCATAATTCAATTTAAAAAAATTATCAACAGATTCACCCATGGCTAAACTATCTGTTGAAAATCTTTCCTTCAGCCTTGTCACTATAGTATCTAACAGAACATAATATGCATTGTTTCTGTAAAATGACTCAGTTGACTGACTATCATCATTCAAAGGTGCAGTGTACTGTGCACTTGTACTTGCAGTAACTATGGAATTATCAAGTCTTTTTGATTCTATCTTTCTTCTTTTTTCTCCTAAATTGTAAATATATTATATTAGTAACTTAAATACTTTATAAATAATTTAGTAAAGTAATTATTTACAAAATTATACCTTGAAATGGATTATCAATAACAATATTATTATCAGTAGAAAATGCATTTATTTCAAACCAAATTTGAGCAAAACTTTCAACTGTTCTAGAATCTTCAAAACTTTTGATTACAGCTTTAATAATTTTTACTGAGTTGCCAAGAGTCGCCGATTTCTCTTGAAATTGATTTATTAAAATATTTAAGATTGTTAAACATTTGCGTAAAAGAAATAAATTAACAATGAAATGTCCTTTTTTTAAATTAGTTAGTATTCCTACAAATTTATAAGAATTATACATAAATAATTTACAAATTATAAGTGCAATTACAAATGCATTTACCTAATGCTTCATTTGAGTCCTTATCTGATTCATTTTCAATTTCATTGCTTAATATTTTTAATATTCCTTTGTTATTAGTAATCACAGCTTCACAATTCCTGTAACGGCAATTCCATCTTGTGTCACTTAATTTTGTTATAGATTTTTTCTTAATACCCAGCTTATTTTGAATTTCAATTAACTTTTGGTTATTGGTTGGATTGGAAAAATGTATATAAAGTGCTTCCAATGTATTAAAAACACATCTAGTATCCTTAAAATTATATAGTCTATATTTAACCTGCTTTAATAATACTAAGTTGTAAAATACTGAATAGAAATTAATTACCTTCACAATTTTGCACATATCTAATACCACCAGATTAATTCGATGTGCCATGCAGTGCGTGTATATTGCAAATGGGTATTTTGATTTAATTTTTGCCTGTACACCATTAAAACGCCCCGACATTACACTGGCTCCGTCATAGGACTGTGCTACAATTGCTACCTGGGGACTTAACTTGCATTGTTTAAGATATTCTAACATGAGTTGACTTAAACTTTCTGAGTCTTGTTTCATAGAACAATCGATAAAACCCAAAAATCTTTCTTTTATATCCAATCCCTTGCAATATCTTATACATAATGCCATCTGCTCTTCTTTAAAACACCTGCAAAGTTACAATTCAAATAATCAAATTGAATGTACACAATTTCCTAGCAATGAAATTAATGTATAAAAAAATTAATGTATGAATATATTACCTAGCTTCATCGCACATGATACCAAATATGCCTACATCATTGACTTCTTTTATAATTGTTTCTCTTAATATATTAGCACATATACTTATTAATTCATTTTGAATTCCATGGCTTGTATGGTTGGTTTTTTCTTTATACTTCTGAGCAAATTTAGGGTAAAATTTTGCTAACAAATTGCAGGTTTCTTTAAAATTTCCTAAAGAGTATTCATTTATTATTTATTTTATTTTTAATCTGAATGCAATTAGTCAGTAAAATAGAAAATACCTTGATTAAGTGAATCGATGGATTCATCGTGACCTCTGAATGCCAAACCTTGCCGACACAAAAATAATATTACTTCACTAAGGGTTCTTATATACATACGATTGCTTTCGATTAACAGCTTATGTTGAGATGAAATTTGAGTCAATACAGTACCAGTTTTTTCAGTTTCTTTATGAGCCATCCACTTTTCCATACAAGTAATATGATGAATTGTTGCTTCATGTAATTCAAGCTTACTTTTACTACCCTTATTGGCACCTCTTGAACCACTTAACTTTAATAAACAGTATTTGTTATTTATTATTATTAATATTTTATTATATTACTATTATTTTTATTATTATTTTGTGTTTATTAAACACACAGAACAAATTACTTAAACACAAGCACAATACCTATGTATATTCAATATCACTACTTTACCTTTTTCCAATGTTTAAAACCAGTTTTTGTAAAAATATCCTCGTTATTTTTGTTACTAGACATAGTGAAATTACGACAAGCAAAACAAAATAAAGCATCATTTGCAATACTGTATTCAAGCCATACAAAGCTGTTGTAATAAGCTGCATTAAAGCTACGGTTTTGATGTTTATATTTTGTCTTCGGATATGACTAAAATAAGCAAAATATAATATAATAATAACTAATAAGATAATAATATTGAAGTCACAGAACTAAGTAAGCAATAAATAAGCAAATAATACTTATAAAATATCAGATATAATACTTATAAATATCTACCTTTAAGACTGGACGTGATGGACCAGTTAATAAATCACCCAAATCTGCTCCATCGTTATTTAATTTAGTCACATTAACATTTATATTTATGTCAATAACCGAAGGTTGATGATCAGAATGTGAATTTTGCGTCAATGATGCCATTTGTTGATCATTTTCAACTATGTTCTTAGATTTAGAATTTTCGTTTTTGTTTTTTTTATTAAAAATCCCAAAATATTTTAAATTATTATCAGACATTTCAAAAACACTTTTGAAAGAAAAATAAAACAAGACACAGAACACCGTTAAGTAATATTATTCGTATTGACACTAGTGCACTGTTAAAATAACGTGTACAGTGAAACCTGATTTAACGAATAACGGACTCCTTCTATTAGGGACACGGACACTAATATTTAACCCGACAATTTCATAACGGACAAAAATACATACATACCTACTACGAAACAGTGTCGATAAGGAACGCAATTAGCACATTCAGTGAAAACACGAATTACGACCAATTACATTATCGCCGATTACGATAACGCTAATTGCGAGTACCTATTGAATTTATAAAGTTTAAATTTGTACAACAGTTTAGGTTAATATAATTTAACAGAAATATATCCAGATATAAATTGCAATACGTATAAATGATAATTTAAGGTTGTACTACTATTATTTTATTAAAATACCTAGATATTTCGTAAGAAAGTATGGAATAATTTTTGGGGGGGGGCTGTGGATAACTTTGGGGGGGCCTAAGCCCCCCCAAATCACCGCCTATGATTATACTTCGAACAGTTATAGTAATCGTATTACAAAAGCTAAAGCTTGGGAGTCTCTTTGTCTTAAATTTTATAGAGATTTTGAAGCGAAGAATCAAAAAGACAAAAATAAATGCGGTAAGAACTATTTATTTAATAAACATATTGTTACACATTATTAATACTATAGATATTTATTACTTAATACAAATCACTTGTATTTATTTCTATATTACATTGTATACTGCCAATGTAATTCACCCTCTGGACTTATAAAATAGTCGGCAAATGTATCTCTGACTAAATTCACTGACCTGCCTACACGATATTCTTCATTATTTTCAAATCGTATAAAATCCGGTGTCATTAGAGTATCTTCGTAGTTATAACCATCTTGCTTGCGTACTATATTATGTAATACAACACATGCTTTAACAATATCTTCTGCGAAGTCAACTGCCACATTGAGTGGCCTATGGGGGAGTTTGTAATTTGCACCAAATTAAAGATATGTAATTTGCACCACTCCAGGTAGTCGAAAGTAGTGTTTGTAATTTGCACCAAAATAAGGGTATGTAATTTGCACCACCCTCAGGTAGTAAGAAATAGGAATTGTAATTTGCACCAAAATTAAAATCGATTATTTTTTCGATAGTATCATTAGTATCGATAGTGTTATTACTCGATATTCTCGTTGACGCGACGTCAAGACTAGATGAACACGAATGACAATAATAATTTTTCGGGATTTTTCACCTTATCTGGTAATAGTTTGACGTTTTACGTCCAATTGTCGGTCGTAATCGCGTTATATCGCGTTATATATATATATTTATATAATGTATATCAGTTTATTATTTTGATCAAATATCAACTAAGCTATACGTTTAGTCTTGCCGTTTCGTCGTAATACGTAATTTAACGTAACATTTTTGTATTGCAGTATTTAATTTTTTTCTTGAAATATGGAAGTTAAGTTAATTAAAAGTAATCGCGGGGAAGATATTTTAGAATACGATAACCATACTTTTTATTTTGCATATAAAACAAAAACTACAAATATAATTCGTTGGCGTTGTACACAGAGAAAATGTTCAGCAAAATTGTTTACTACAGGTGAAAATTTGACGATTGTCCGTGATGAAAGTGTACATGTAAATCACAACGAGAAAAACTTAAACGTTTATAAATTAAACCAATTGTGCAAAATAAAAGCACGAGAATCACCATATGAAAAAACCAGCCAAAATTTTAAGAAATGTAGTGCAAAATTCAACAGATTCCAATGTTATCACTACTAAGGATATTTCGGATTTAAGACGTAATATATATAATACGAAGAGGAAGATATTGCCAAAATTTCCAGTATCATAGAATGAAGTACATTCAATGCTGTTAACAATGGATATCAAAACACACACAGGTGAACCGTTTATATTATCAAACGATTCTGATAAAAATATAATTATATTTTCTTGCAAAACAAACATTGATTTTTTATGCAAAAGTGAAACAATCTATCTTGATGGGACATTCGATTATTGTCCGAAATTATTCACTCAACTTTTTACTTTACATGGATATTTTAATAATAATTATGTTCCTCTTGTATTTGCGCTATTACCAAATAAAACAAAACAAACGTATACACATTTTTTAAATATTTTGGTACTTGAATGTCAAAATGTTGGTCTAATATTAAAACCTACAACAGTTATATGCGATTTTGAAGAATCAATTCATATCGCATTAAGAGAAGTTTGGAACAATGTTAATATCTTTGGATGTCGTTTTCACTTAACACAGTCTTGGTACAGGAAAATACAAAACTTAGGACTATGTAAAGCGTATAAAAATAATAAAACCCCCGAAGGTGAATGGTTGAATAATATTTTTGGATTAATATTTTTAAATCCTAATGAAGTGGGCTCATGTTTTGTTGATGACTTTATGTCAACAATACCACACGATATAAAATTTCAAATGTTTGCTGACTATTTGACTGACAATTATATAGACAACAATTCATTATTTCCACCGTTTATTTGGGCAGTTGCATCATCGTCGTCGACACATACAACGAATGCATGTGAATCCTTTCACAGTAAATTTAACGCAGAGTTTTATCATCCACACCCACAAATTTTCAATTTCATTAAAGTTCTAACAGATTTTCAAACAGATACTTATATAAAACTATCAAGTTTACATATAACTCCGAGAATAACTTCTCAAACATGTCAACGGACGAAACAAATTCAAGCTGCTTTGGACCAGTATAATAATAAATTGATTTCAAGAACTTCATTCATTGCATTAGTTGCATACAAATACAAAAAACGTGTAAGTATTAAAACAGCGAAGTATAACAGCAATAATTAATATTATGTACCTACATAAGTTTATTTTTTTCCAACTATAAATTATTATTTACAGATTATTCCACCTTCAATTAACTGCGAAACATAAAATGATATCAAAATGCAACATAGGTAAATTAGTTTTTTTTTTTAATTTTACATATTATAATTATTATATTTGGCCAACTTTTTTGTATACATTTACATTTACATTATACATGTTTT